GAACACAAAATTTCAAAGGGCAACTCAAGAAGACAAAGTATTACAACAAAATATGCAAAGACCTGGAGTTAGAAAATCAAAAGAGTAGAAAATGTTTTAGCACTTTTATAGTTGAAATAAGTAATGAAAAATTCAAGCCTAGACTTGAAATACTGAAAGATTCTATGAGCCCAATATTAAATAATGCAGAAATGGGTACAATAATAAATGATACAGAAAGCATCATAGAAGATGGAAGGTATGCATAGAGCCATTGTACCCAAAAGAATGGTTGATATTCAACCATTTCAACAGGTAACATATGACCAAGAACTAATGGTATTGAAGGAAGAAGTCCAAGCTGCACTGAAGGCAATAGTAAAAAACAAGGCTCCAGGAATGGATTGATGACAAATTAATTTCTCCTTACAAACTGATGTAGCGCTGGAGACAACCATTTATTCATGCCAAGAAATTTGGAAAACATCAGTCTGACCAACTGATTGGAAGAGATACACATTTGTGCCCATTCTTAAGAGAAGTGATACAGTAGAATGAGGAAATTATCAAACAATATCATTAACATCACATGCAAGTAAATTTTTGCCAAAGATAATTTAAAAATAGTTGCCACAGCACATCAACAGAGAACTGCCAGAAATGCAATCCAGATTCTGAAATGGATGTAGAACTAGGAACATCATTGTTGACATCAGATGGATTTTGACTGAAAGCAGAGAATACCAGAAAGATATTTACTTGTGTTTTGTTGACTATGCAAAAGCTTTCAACTATGTGAATCATGATAAGTTATGGATAACATTGCTAAGAAGGGATATTCCAGAAGACTTAATTTAGCTCATAGCGACCCTATATATGAGGTTTATTTTATTTGGTAATTTCAATTAGCTCATGAGGAATCTGTACATAGACCAAGACACAGTCATTGGAAAAGAACCAGGGAATACTTACTGAATGGTTTAAAATCAGGAAAGGTGTGTGCCAGGGTTGTGTTCTTACACTATATTTATTCAGTCTGTGAAGTCCTGGTGTGGACTATGATATGTACTAGTCTGCTCACCACTAGGTCGGTGGTTCAAATCTATCATCTACTCCTCAGAAGCAGTAAACAGGGTTCTATGAGTTGGAACCAACTTAATGGCACTTAACAACATTCATTCTATATTCCATATTATGAACAAATAATCTGAGGAACTGGATTAAAGAAGGTAATGTATTCAAGAGACATATCACAGATAAAAATCAACATAGAATGTTCTCTGAGTTGATGTGGAAACTTAAAGGAGGGGAAGACAACTAACATGATTGAATGAGTAATTGCATTGCCAGTAGAGAATAGAGGAAGATGAGCAAGTTTGGGAGGAAAGATGACTTAAATTTGGAAGTGTTTGCAATGTCTGGAAGCTATCCAGGCCATGGTAGTTTTTCATAATGTATGGATAAACTCTTCAATAGGACAATAAATTTCTTTAGAAGCTTTCAGCGTAGGTACTTGACAAATTATAAACCCTTACCTCACTCATAGAGTATTTATCTTTCTTTGTCATTCTCCCATGGACAAGTTGCTGAAAGGAAGCTAATCTTTTGGCAGTAATACAGTTTGAATGTTTGTATCAGGAGGAGTGTCTCTTGCTAAGCATAGAGCCATATGTTACAGAAGAAAGAGAACGAACTTTTGAGTCCAACAAACAGGATAAAATCCTTACTCTGTAACTTACTAGCTGTGTGACCTTGTGCAAATCACTTGACCTCTCTGTATCCCAGTTCATCATGAAGGAAATAGAGATAAAAATTCCTCACAGAGCTATTATGAAGATTAAATAAGATAATATAGGTAATGTGTTAGTCACATAGCTATGTATCCAACAGATGGTAGCTATCTACATTATTATGAAATGAGATATGCCGCCATTTCTATAAATAGCAAACCAAATATAAATAACATTGAGAAGTTCCTGGCAATCAATCTAAATACTGCAGTATTTTAGTGTGCTTTATATGTAACTAGTTAAGCCTGTCTAGAGTTACTGTGATTTTTCTCACTTTATAGATGAGGAAGCTGAGACCCAGGAAGTCAGTAATGAGGACTTTCCAAGTTCATGTTACTTTCAGAACAGTTGTCAAAGGCAAAATACCCATAGGTTGTTTAGTTACACAATGAAGTAAGTCTGAAATACTGCTGCCTCTTCCAGGTTGCAAGGTTAAGTTTCTGTCTGTTTATCCCATTTATGAATAACTTCCCCAACCCCAATTATAACAGTAGTATGTATTCTTTGGGAATATGTGAAAAATTTTAAAGAAGAATTTAAAATTACCCAACACAGTTGCTTTTGTTTTCTACA